GCGGAGCATTAAGCCTACATCTACTAAAAGTAATGTTTTTGTAGTTGATGGAGTTGATGTGCATGATAGCAAGGTTATTTCGAATGCCTTTAATCAACAATTCAAATCGGTTTTCACCATTGACAATAATGTTCTTCCCTCATTCGATGCAGATTATCCACCTATACCTGACGTTGTTATCAGTGAGCACGGCATTCTAAATATGCTACTTAAACTCAATGTTAAAAAGACACCCGGACCGGATAGCATTCCAAACGCATTTATAAAGCGTTATGCAGAGTGGATCGCCAAATATCTGTATGTTTTATTTTCAAAATCGCTACACGAAGTTCGAGTACCAGATGATTGGAGGGCCGCCAGAGTCAAGCCTCTTTATAAGTCGGGTAAAAAGCAACTTATCTCAAATTATCGTCCTATTTCATTAACGTCAACTACCTCTAAGCTTATAGAACACATAATACATACGCATATCTGTGAGTTTCTTAGTAAGCATAATATCTTAACAACACACCAGCACGGATTCAGAAAAGGCCTGTACAGAATTCAACCTGTACGCAACTTGTCGAGACAATTCACGATTTCGCAACTTCAATTAACAATGGGACACAAACTGACGCCATTTTTATGGACTTTTCAAAAGCGTTTGACAAAGTCTCACACAAGAAATTACTTTTTAAATTAGAGAAAACACTTAAAAATCCGCACCTAATAAAATGGATAGCAGACTACCTTATAAACCGTAAACAAATTGTTGTCTTTAACGAATTCTGTTCAGAAGAGGCAACCGTTGACTCTGGCGTTCCACAGGGTACGGTTCTTGGACCCCTTTTGTTTTTAATTTTTATCAATGATATTGTGAATGAAGTTCCTGTAAAAATCAAGTTGTATGCAGATGACTGTGTCATATATTCTGAAATATCCAATGTAACCGATCAAATCATTCTGAATAGTGCCTTTTATAACATTGTGAAGTGGTGTGATTTATGGCAGATGTCAATTAACTTCGATAAAACAGTATTTATGTGAATAACTCACAAAAAAAAACCCTTACTATTTAATTATTCCACCGCAAGTTTCACCCTTTCTGAGGTAACCAACATTAAGTATCTTGGCATTTGGATTACCAATGACCTTAGCTGGACTAAACATATTGACTCCGTAATTACAAACGCTAACCGAAAACTATTCTTCCTTCGAAGAGCTCTAAAACATTCTAATTCCACTGGTGCGTACTCTAGCGTACAGGACTATCATACGACCAGTGTTAGAATATGGAGTGATTGTTTGGGACCCCTTCACTAAAGCTAACATAACTAAATTGGAAAACGTGCAGAAGAAGGCAGTCCGCTTTATCTTTAATAGGTTTGGACGCACCTCTATAACTGAACTCCTACATCGTGCCAATGAGCCTTCAGTTACCGAAAGAAATCGTTTAATACGACTACAATTTCTTTACCAAATAATTAAAGGGTATTATAAGCGTGATGTTTCCAATATCATTTCCTTTTCTTCTGGGTACGCCACCCGCCAGAGGCATTAACTTACAATAACCCCTTTCCGGTCCTGAAATAACTGCTTCAAATATTCCTTTTTCCTCGTACAGTAACTCAGTGGAATGGACTAACTAATAACCAAGTGATGGAGCCGTCCTTGAAGTTGTTTGCAGCAAATTTGACCTGATTGTTCACATCATGCTGTTCTATTTTTTGTTTGTTTGTTTGGTTTATGCATTCTTGAGTGCCAACATTGTGAAAATTATATCTGTAACCACCCTGCTAAAATCTCTGTAATAGGGATTGCAGTATGAATAAATAAATGAAATGGTGGCGACGACGGTGTACATGTTTTACTTTTGACTGGAGGAATGAGGGGGCTTTCTGCGCTTTACCTGGTCCTGTTTCTCTGCCATCTGTAACATCGCCTGTCCGAGGGCTGTCATAAGCGGTGCTCGGGGGTACAAGTAAGTGCTTGTTCGTGTCCGTCGTCCTGTTCCTCTGCCATCCGTAGCATCGCCTGTCCGAGGGCTGTCATAAACGGTGCCAGGGGGTGCGAGTAACCGCTTATTCAGTCCGTCGTATTGTAGGTCCAACCGGCTGTAGTCCTGAAAAAACACAAAGCCTGTGTCCAAGACGTGTGCCCAGTTCCTCAGCCGCGCCGACCTTGTAGAGCAAGCTGTGCACCCCATCTGTCGGCGCTCGTGTGGTGCTTACAAACACCAGCTGATGGCCCAGTTCGTCGCAGAACTTCCTGAGCTTCTCGTTCCACAGCTTGCATTTGCTCAGCATTACGTCATTACAGTGTTCTGATTCAGGAACACCGTACACAATGAAGCGATGCTTATTGGCTGTCATCTGAAAAAAGAAAAAAAAAAAGATGAATCTAGGTTTTGGTTCACTAAGTATTACGGCTTGGTGGCGTTAGCTGCCGCCCGATCTAAAGGGTACAGCCATATCAATCTATCCAATCCATCCATCCATGCGGCGGCTTCACGAATATGACGTCATGGCCTCTCCTATATTCTTCCTTTTTCCATGGCGGGGGGCGAGAGTTGAGCGAGTCGCTTTCGGGCTGGTGGCGTTTAGCGTGGTGTGGTGGCGCGAACGCAGGGGTGGGTCTGCCGGGGACGGCACCGCGGGCCGTCTGCTGTAGGCCCACGTGGAGAGTCGGGCGTTAGCGACACCGCTTTGTTTGTCGTGTTGTTTAATATTGTGTAAGGATGTCCTAGCATGTTGATCACAATTGATGTTATAATAATTCGGCAAATGATATCGTCGTTCAAAAAGTAGTTAAATAAATGTGTATGTCGTTTGTTGTTCCGACCATGTCCACTACGTCCGTTCACTTCAAGAGGGTGGGCATGGTGCTCGCCCCATTTCGTGACCCCAGAAAGTATACACTTCTTTTCTTTGTGTGTGTGTGTGTGTGTGTGTGTGTGCGTGCACGCGTGTGTGTGTGTGTGTGTGCGCGCGGGCGGGGGAAACGACAATGCGTCCCTCTTGCCCCCCCCCCCCCCATCATACACTATCAACATCATATAACATCATACACTATCAAGACGTACAGTTTATCCTCTCACAGTCTAAAACCAATAAAGAAGGACTCACTCGGGAACAAAGATTCCTTTGAGCTGTAATGGCACTCAGATGGCCCCATCATGAACCAGTTCAGTAAGTGCTGGATGAATTGAATGCACCAACAGCTGCCCGCAGAGGGTTCTGTGATTGCTTGAATATGGTCTATTGGTAACACAAACAATTTCCAGTTGGCTTCACCAATTAGGCACGAAGGTGAACACAGTTCACCCATTGGAAAAAGCGTACAGTTGGAACTGGACTTCTCAATCGCATTAATAAGTGTAATCAACTTAACCAAATGATTTCACCAATTCGGTTGATTGGTCATGCCAATCTCCCAAACTGATACTACCGTGGTCTTACCTCTTAGTCTTACTGCATACAAATAAAAATTTAAAAAAAGAAAACGTGTTAGATTGCATGCATAAACTAGCATTATTGAAGACTACCCATGGACAAATATGAAATCCTTGTATGTGATCTTCACTTTTCTAAATATAACTTAGCTCAACATGCCAGCCATTTCAGCCTAGTCAGTTTCTTCAGATTTCAAGAACAATTGAATGATTTTTGTGGCTGACTGTAATATGAACAAATGAAATAAACAACATATCTTGTGAACCATATGAAGTGCAAAGGTGTCTTATTTCAGGAGTAATGGTGCAATTAGCTAACATGTTTTTAAACGCTCTTTTTTTTTGCTTCACAGTTTTACTCATTTCTGTGGTGCACAATTGAAAACATTTCACATATCAGTTAAGGTCAATCGGAATCGACTGGTTGAATTCCCATTAGAACCATATTTTCTTCACAGGGTTCTTTGCCTAACTGATTGATTGATTGATATGTGGGGTTTAACGTCCCAAAACCACTGTATGATTATGAGAGACGCCGTAGTGGAGGGCTCCGGAAATTTAGACCACCTGGGGTTCTTTAACGTGCACCCAAATCTGAGCACACGGGCCTACAACATTTCCGCCTCCATCGAAAATGCAGCCGCCGCAGCCGGGATTCGAACCCGCGACCTGCGGGTCAGCAGCCGAGTACCTTAGCCACTAGACCACCGCGGCGGGGCAGGGTTCTTTGCCTATTCCCATTATAAACTGTACAATGACACTCCGGAATAATCATTCGATTAACCTGAACCCCGTTGCATATCTGTTGACTGGATATTAAATATAATTATCAATTAACACCTGGAACTGTCTTGATACTGGTAACTTTCCTTGAATGCTTGCCAGTTGTAATCAGTTCATGTCCGGCATCCACTCAGTGTGAACCTTAATCCACAACCGTGTCCCCTGTCAATGGGGCACAGAGGCCTGCCACAGGTTTTCCATGTGGAAATTTCAGGCAGCGTGCAAAAATCACTTGCAGGGTTGCCGTTCGTGGCTACTTTGTGCCAAATTGGCTGCTTTTAGACACATTTCGCAACGAATATTCACGATTGGTGCAAGGCCATTTTCTTGCTACTTTTGAACTTGAAATTTACATATTGAACATGGTTTTCTTTATACATCAATAATAAAAACTCTGCTCCTAACACGGCTCTGGTTCTAGTATATGGCTACAAGCTGGGCGATATTATTGAATGCATGGCTATTTCTGGCTTCAGTTCTGGCGCTTTATGGAGTTTCCTGAACGGCGACGTTGGTCACTCCCTGTCGGCCTTGGGCATTGCTCAGACACTAACAATCTTAGACAATCCACGTTCAGGTCGAGTCACAGCGTTGCGACAGTCGTGCTGCTTTCCATGCCTGATGTGCCTCTGTTTCATATAGGCCCCTCTCGAGCTAATTTTGTTTTTGAACAAAACATAACCGCACAGACAAATGCTGCTCTCGATCATGACTGCGAAAAGCCATTTGGTGTGGAAAAAGCTACTTCGTGCCAGAAAGAAAAAAGGGAAGACACAATGAAACAAGATTTTCTAAAGTGCAGAATTTTGTTATCCTTATAATACAACATAGCAATACAATTTTCGCTTGTCAGGACGGCTACAGTGGCTGCACCAATGCCTTCAAGTCTGGCAGGAGATCGGGTGGTTTGGCCTGGCCCCACGATGCTGTCAACACCACGGCTGGCACAAGCTTCAGCTCGAGTAGGGTGGCCTTTGGGTCGTCCAAGGTGTGGCCGGACGGCGACACGAGTGTACACTCACTCTTTGTTTTTTCCACGTTGTCTAGCAGGAACTCTCGCACAGCAGCAAGCGGCTCGTGCACAGAAAATGTCCCCTGCAACCACCCACATAATACACTCTATTCATGAAGTGCTGCCAACATCAGTTCCGAGTTTCGCACTATCGACCTAGGCTTCATGCATTTCTAGAATAAAAAGAAAGTACTCAAAAACCATTTTACATGCATAATGCATATCAGTTGTTAGCAGAAAAGCCACAGAAGCCTAGGCAACAAAATTCAACCACCGCCAGCGATGTTTCGTTAAATGGCGCATCCGTGTAGTGACTCTGCAGTTACTATAGTTAGTAAGCTCATAGTTCATCTATAGTTCACTTCACACCTTTCTCTTGTTAATTTGTAACAAGAGTCAAAAAGTAAACACTCCACACAGTTGGCTTTTCATATTCAGTTTTCCCCAAAACAACAAGAGAGTGAAACAACCTACCTGCAACACTCACAAGCATAACTAAGATGAATAACTTCACAATCGCTCTTCTGAGTTTCATCGCAAATTAACATCAAAATTTGTTTTACACCTTTGATTGTTATACATCTTCTTTTCTATGCTTCTCGAAATTTCGTTTTAAAACTGTTACTTACGCATATTATGTCGTTTTACAATTATCAGGTTTTTACAATTCCTTACGTTATGTTTTTATCTATTGGGAGTTTATTGAGTGTATGTATATTCAACAAGCTCTTACTCTAACACTCCCGGGACAATTAAGTATTTTGATTGCTGCAATAACAATTACGCTTACTTTTGCCTTTGTTTTGCGACTTACATTTGCTAAGTGCCAGCGTCATATTTTCTATCTATATTTCGTACCTATAATCATGTAGTTATTGTGTACTAACTTTTGCTCCTCCCCTCTTCAATGTACGTATGTACCCTGAGGGTATTTGAAATAAATATGGAAATAAATTTAGTGGGCTCTACACTGTTTATTTTTTTTTTCACTTCTCTCTGAATATAAGCCAACTGTTCACTATTTATATATATTTATATATAGCATTAGTTTTGAAAAACTGCATCTGCCGTGCAGGCTGATTCACGAATTCCTGGCCCCTGCCCGTAAGCTATTGCACTCCATTTAGCCCATGACGCAGCATACGATAAAGCGGACCGTCTATTTTAAAAGCATCCAAGTATGTCAGAGAATGCTACTTTTAAGTGCCAGCACCGACTTTTTATGAATCACAACCCCTGAGACACCAACTGTAGCATAGGACTTGCACAACCCGGACATTCTTGCAGGGTAGGCTATCCGATATAGAATGTGGAGCGATCTTTGGAGCCGAAAAGTGTTACTTATAGAGCACTAAAATTCAAGTTTGGACCAGCTAGGTTATGGCAAAAAAAAAAAACTTTTTTTTATCACAACGAAGGCCGCCAGGGGGCTGAGGTGTGTAGTCGCACCTCACATGGGCTCCTGCTCTTTTTGCTACTTTCTGTGCAACCTTGCCTGGACACTGCTCGCGTTTAGTGACCTGGGATTCCTCACGTTGCAAGGCATCGTTTGACACCAGACTCATCGCAGTGAGTGTACTTTTTTACTAGATATTGAACTCTAAACATATTGTGCCTGATCGCTGGGACGCGCCAAGGGATTCAGAGGACGCGCTGCACGCGAATGCCGCTGTGGCGACGGGTCTGCGAAACGAGCTGGACGCCAGCATCTCGTAGGTGCACGAGCACGCTGCTCGCGCAACACAGAGACGCAGCGTCTGAGGTAAAGAGCTCTCATGTAAACGCAGACGTCTAACCCACGTCAAGAAAACCCGAGTACGATGCAAGTGGACAACACGGAGGGTAACTCAAGAACGGCATCACAATGGACGTTTGATGAAAATAGTGGCAAAACGACAGGCAAAACCCACATTGAGTGGCTTCAAGATGGCCGTAAAGGCAGGTCAGCCAAAGAAGAAAAGTCAGCCGAAGAACGAGCTACGCAACCTGTGAAGCCAGACGCCGAATCTCAACGGCAACGTCAACGCAGCACTAGGATGCGGCCATTCCCTACTGATGACTTCAAAATTGTATTCCGCCCGCAACCAGGACTAGATCTTTCAAAACGAACACTCATCGAGGTTACACATGCCATCGGAAGATCCAGTGGCTTGGCCCAGCAGGACTTCTATGACCATGTGCGAGTGCAGGTGCAAAAAGTAGAGAATGTGATCATCGCAAGCACAGCAAGCACTGAACGAGCTTCCAAACTGCAAAGTATAAATGCTATACAGCTCGGTGGAGTAATATATCAAGTGAATCCGCACATTCGACACCCTGATGATGTGTGCCGCGGAGTGATCTACGGCCTCGAACCAGGAACAAGCCCCACAGAGATTGTTGCAGGACTTCGCGTAGACCCAAGATACCACGTCCTCGGCGCGCGCATGCTGGGATCTTCCACAGCTGCAGTTATCCCTTTCGACGGGCAGCCTGTTCCTTTTTACGTGACGTACCTCAGTGGAGACTACCGATGCAAGCCATACCGGAAGTCCATCCAATATTGCCGAACCTGTGGCGCCCTAGGTCACCGACAAGACATTCTGCCCTCAGCCGAAAGCGAACTTCTGCTACAAATGCGGCCACGACAAGGACACAGAACCACATGACTGCCAATTGATGTGCAAGATCTGCGGAGAAGACCATGAGACTGCTGGAAGGGAATGCAAGAAGAAACTCCGCAGCAACCCCCCTCCTTATCAAGTAAGAGGCCACCAGCTCGATAACGCCCGCGCTCATGAGAATCACTGGAGTGCTTGCACCAATGATTTACCCGGGTCAGTTATCACACCAGAAATTTAACGGGCCCCCTCTTTTCCCCCGAAATTTGACCGAAGTCAAATTCTAAGAAAAAGAAAAAGGTCGCTCTAAGAAAAAAGGTCGCTCTGGATCCCGCACGCCATCACGGTCTCGCTCCGTTAGGGGAATCAGTTACGCCGCCGCGGTAACCGGGAGTGACGGGCCCACTTCTCTAAATACTACAAGTGCCTCGACCATCTCGCCTGCTCAGACAGCGACCATCCGGGCTCTAGAAAATAAAGTCCAAGATCTACAACGGAGGATACAACAACGCCCACCAGCCGAGTGTAGCACACTAGAACTTGACAGCATACTAAAACAGACGGAAGCCAGAATAATGAAGCGGGTAGAAGAAAGGCTGCAAGCACATGAAGCGAAGATGCTCGACCTCGTCGAACGACGCCTTGAAGCTTTCGAGAAAGCCCTCACTGCGAAACTCCTCACATCCATAGACACAACCATAGAGAAAGTGGTTACTAAAATTATGGAAAAGGTAGACCCACTGACCCGTACTGTAAGCACGCTCGACGCCAAGCTTGATGGCTTCATGGCACAACAGCATAACTTCATAACATATGCATACAAAAATTTCGTTACCCATGAGTAGCTGGTAGAGCAATCAGGGACCAAGCGGAAAGAGCGAAAAACTTTAGGGGATGAAACTGCAGCGGAAATTCGATCTACAGCACCAAACGACCGGCACCAGGCGGGAATCAACTGCCAGAATGGCAGCTCCCACACATAGACAGTCTGAGCCACTCCCCACTCTTCGAATTTGGCACTGGAATTGCAGATCCTACAGACCTCGTTCTGCAACCTTGCAAGAATATGTTAAAACAAATAATCCAGATATGATCGTGTTGCAAGAAACCCACACAGAAAAAAATCAAGCTCCCTGGCTACAGCACTCTCACATGCACACCCCGCACCGCAATTCTAGTCAAGAAGACTCTAACCGCACAGGCTCATGAAATTGAAGACATTGGCATCGAACACACCATCGTGGAGATAATCCCCACTCGGAAGACTCAACAAAGCTTATACCTGGCCAACATTTACAGTCCTCCGCGGGAGCAGTTACACCAATACGACCACTTCGTCCACGAGCTCCGTCAAATGGTTAACGGCAACCGACTCGTCATGGTTGGGGACTTCAATGCTCCACACGCGGCCTGGGGCTATCACAGCACCACCAAGAAGGGGGCTGTGGAATGACTTGCTCCATCCAACCCGAGTTGGCAACAGCGTCTCGAGGGATACTAATCCTGATCTCACGTTCACTAGAGACGTGCACAACGCAACATGGACAAGGCTACCAGACACTCTAGGGAGTGACCATCACATAATTCAAATAGAGGTCGAACAGGCTCACCGCTCGCTCAAGACAGGAAAAGCTCGGCTCACGGACTGGACCGCCTACAGGAATGAGCTTGATGATGATTCGACTATCGAAGACATTGAAGCCTGGTTAAACAGTATTGTAAGTGTTGCTGACGGACATACCAAAACGATACACTTGAACGAGGACAATCCGGCAGTCGATAATCATCTACTTCACCTATGGGAAGCTCGAAGATCGCTTATTAAACGATGGCAACGGCAAAAGCTCAACCGCAAGCTGAAGCGCCGCATCGCCGTACTCACTAGACAGGCACAGGAGTACGCCGAAAACCTTGCGAGCCAGAACTGGCGGTCCTTCTGCGACAAACTTCAAGGAACATTGAGCACAAAGAAGACTTGGCGCATTCTTCGAGCCCTGATTGACGACACCCACACCAAAACTAACCAAAGAAATACAATTAAGCGGCTCATACACTACTATGAGGGCACAGAGCACCAGTTACTCCAAGAACTTCAAGCAAAACTTTGTGGCTCGGTTAACCAGCAAGCTATCTCCATCAACAATTCGATGCCCAGGGAGTACCGAGGAGCACCGAACGAAGCACTAGACCAGCCTTTCACGCTGGCAGAGCTACACGCGGCCCTTGCTAAGCTTACGCGCCACACAAGCCCGGAAAAAGACGGAGTGACCAATAAGCACCTACGACAGCTACCGCCCCGGGCGTTGACGGCACTCCTTCGGCACTATAACGACTGCTGGAGGAAGGGCGAGCTACCGCAAGCCTGGAAGCACTCAGAGGTGACCATGGTACCCAAGCCAAACAAGCCAATCTCGATTGCGAATCTTCGTCCCCTTTCCCTTACATCTTGCGCTGGGAAACTCTTTGAGCACATGGTAAACGAG